AAAACATTACATTCGTGTTTTCTCAATATGATGCATTACAATGTAATTATATACCCGGGTACATTATTTATTATTATTATTATTTACAATGATAATGATATTATTATATTTTAAATAAGGTAAATTACTTGTCTTTATATTTAACAATACTTTTTTTTTAGATGAACTACGATACAATACAATATTGAGAGGTAGGAGAAAGATTTTCCTTTTACCTGCTGAGTTGAGTTGAGATAACTTATTTCGAGAAAAAATAAATACTGTCAGTTGTTTATGAGTATGAGTTGAGTTGAGTTATCAATGTGGGTCAGATACCTACGTTGTCTGATTCAATAGGCAGAGGAATTTTACCATAGCGAAGCAGTGTTGCACTAGAGAAGGCCTCTATGTGTCGTTGGTCTCTATCGTTCATACGGCATACCTTCGGCCATTGCCCTACCAGTCCGGCGTGGTCCGCCTGTGGGACCTATGGCATTGACAAGGGATCTCTTCCTTGTCGCGCGCGCGCAGGTAAGCCAAAATGAGCAGAGAAAAATCGAAACGATTAGCAATGTGAATAAATTTATTGAGCAAGCAAAAACAACCGTTTACATTTTCTTTTTAACATGATCAATATTATCTTTCGTTGCTTTAATTAGAGGATGTGTTGGCGGAAGTGATTTTTGACGGATAACAAGTGCCTTTCCTAAGAATGAGAGTGCTTTCGAGTAGTCACCTTTGCCAGAATACGCCATACCAATGTTGTTGTAGGATTGAGCCAAATCCGGATGATTCGAAGGCAGAGCCTTTTCTCTTATTTTAAGTGATTTTTCGTAAAATTCAAGTGCTTTCGAGTAGTCACCCATGTTGTTATACACTCCACCGATGTTGTTGTAGGATTGAGCCAAATCGGGATGATTCGAAGGCAGAGCTTTTTCTCTTATTTTAAGTGATTTTTCGTAAAATTTAAGTGCTTTCGAGTAGTCTCCTTTGCCGTAATACGCCAAACCGATATTGTTGTAGGAAATAGCCAAATCGGGATGATTCGAAGGCAGAGCTTTTTCTTTAATTTGGTGTGCTCTTTCGTAAAATTCAAGTGCTTTCGAGTAGTCACCCATGTTGTTATACACGAGACCGATGTTGTTGTAGGAAGTAGCCAATGAGAGATGATTCGGAGGCAGAGCTTTTTCTCTTATTTTAAGTGATTTTTCGTAAAATTCAAGTGCTTTCGAGTAGTCACCCATGTTGTCATACACTTGGCCGATGTTGTTGTAGGAAGTAGCCAATGAGGGATGATTCGGAGGCAGAGCGTTTTCCTTAATTTTATGTGCTTTTTCGTAAAATTCAAGTGCTTTCGAGTAGTCACCCATGTTCTTATACACTCCACCGATGTTGTTGTAGGAATAAGCGAAATCCGGATGATTCGAAGGCGGAGTTTTTTCTCTTATTTTAAGTGCTTTTTCGTAAAATTCAAGTGCTTTCGAGTAGTCACCCATGTTCTTATACACGAGACCGATGTTGTTGTAGGACAAAGCCAATGAGGGATGATTCGGAGACAGTGCTTTTTCTTTTATTTTAAGTGCTTTTTCGTAAAATTCAAGTGCTTTCGAGTAGTCGCCCATGTTCTTATACACTCCACCGATGTTGTTGTAGGATTGAGCCAAATCGGGATGATTCGAAGGCAGAGCTTTTTCTCTTATTTTAAGTGCTTTTTCGTAAAATTCAAGTGCTTTCGAGTAGTCACCCATGTTGTTATACACTCCACCGATGTTGTTGTAGGACAAAGCCAAATCCGGATCATCAGGAGACAAAGCTTTTTCTTGTATTTTAATTGTTTTTTTGTAGAATTCCACTGCTTTCGAGTAGTCACCCATGTCGTTATACACTTCACCGATGTTGTTGTAGGTATTAGCTAATGAAGGGTGATCTTCTGGTAGAGTTTTTCGTTCAATTTTGAGAGACATTTCATAAAATGAAGCTGCTTCTGTATATTGCCCTTTGCCATTTTTCATCTTTCCAAGCATATTATAGATAAATGCTTTATCACTGTCGTTGGATGCCTCTTCTAGTAGTGCCATGTACAATTCTTCGCCCTTGTCAAATTGACTTATTTTGAGCAGCAATTGACCCATTCGATGCCATCCAGTGCGGTTGACCTCTTCTCGTATTCGGTCGGTTACTTGACGAAGTTGTTGATCATCATCTGAGGTAAGTTTAAGTTCCACTTCATAAAGTGGACTTTTCTCATCAAGTTTTCGAATGTCACCAATTCGAAAAACGCTGTGCATCGAGAAGAGAATTTCTTTTTCGGCCTTGTAATAACTCACCTCCTCAATGGAGGCGAAAGGAGTCGTTGAAATTGTAGGATCAATAATTATTTGAAAGAGAATACCGACCATGTCGGTTGAGCGTAAAGATTTGTTGACGAATTTAATTGAGACATCACGATTTTTGCTGGTAGATAAAAAGTTGTTAAAAGAAATAAGCCCGCCTTTATTATTTGCGAGCTTTTCAAAATCTTCTTTCGAGAAACCTTGTCCTCGAAAGACTGTAAAGACTTTCCCATGATATTGACTGACCTGTTCTTTGTGCAAATGTTCAATTTGTCGATATATATCACATAAAAAAAAGCCCATGCGAATCATAATATCGCCGTTGAGTGTCCGTAGTGCACCATTTAACATTTTGTATGTAAAGCATTCTCTTGTATACCACCATATGGCATTGGATGCTTGATATGCATGTTGAAATTCATGAATAATTTTTAATTCCTTGTTATTATCTTTGTATTCTTGTTGGCAATATGTAACTAAATCTTGAATGGCTTTTTGATCATGTTCTATTTCAAGAAGTATTTCCTTGAATATTTGTGAATACATAAAAGTAGGTTCTAGCTGATCAAGATTTTTGCTAGAACCTCCTTCAGTTAGACTAACAATGCTCACCGGTATATTGTCCTGATTGCATTGCTTGATAGCCATTTTCAACTTTTCGCAAATGTGTTTGATGGATGTGTGAACACCTTTGATCTTTGCATAATTTTGAGCCCATTCTTGATGTCGTTGTTTGTTGTCACAAAATATAAATATGGCATTTAATTTTGTCATATCATGAATTGTTGGCACTAGATGTTGGCCAATTGCACCGGAAGAGATAACAAATGAAATCTCCTCTTGATTTTCGTTCAATAGTTGAATACATTGGTCAGGTGTTGTACATTGTTGCACTTGATTTACAACTTCTCGCAATTGTACCATTGTATTTTTGCAGTCTTCATTTGTCATATCAATGTTTCCATCAACCCAAATAACTATATAACCTTCAGCCACGTGCAATCTTTGACGTCGACTCATTTTTAATCGCTTTGTATTGTAGAGACGAAATTGTTATTTTGATAGGTACTACTTTTTGCTATTTATAAGTTTGATGTCGACTGGATTTTTTCTTTGTTGACACTCAATTGAAACTATTGTTATCAACAAGATACGAAAGAGAAAAAACCCGAGTGTATCATCGATTTTATGATCATTCTTTCCAACTTTCGTTTGCTTTTTATTTATGTAGCTACTTGAATCGTATCTCTCGTACTGACAAGAACGAACAATAAAACATAGAGATTGCCAGCTCGACAATTTTTATTATGGTTATAATGGACATAATGAAAGCAGGAAAGATACGTAGATTTGTATGATGAAGAATATAATGTTTAGAGTAATTAATTTTCACTTCAAATATAATCACAAAACAATATAATGTTTCATACTTCCATGTCATTACAATGATTTCAATTGAGTAGGTATCTTAGTTCATTAACTAGACATTGTAAACATCTTGCTATTGATTAAATCAATTCAGAATAAATTTACAAATTGTATACTATGAAAATTCATTCTTGAATTATTTCCTACTTCGATGATAGACATTCGGTGAATATATTAGAATAAAAATAGCGAAATAGAAAAATATTAGATAATTCATTATGTTACTTTTCTTCTCGTATTTTTTATTATTAACTTAAAAGTAAATGAAATATTTCAATAAGCATTTTTCATATAAAGATTGTTTCGGAAATCATTGACGAAAAAGAAATTTCTCGATTTTCATCACAGTTGGTCCAAATACACTACGTTTATTTCTAATAATAAAAGAATGTTTGAAGTTTTTTCCTAAGAAATAAATCAAACATGTCTAATGGAAATTACTCGTCTAATGTCGTTTATTTATTTTTTTAATGATACGGCGACCACCGAGATCTACACATACGATCACACCTACCCAAATTATTTTGAAATATTCAAAGTTGATAGATTCTCTAAGACTATGTTTTATATTCTATTGAAAATAAAATTTCCAGAACGTGGCAGATTTACGATTCTACTCCGGTGCTATACTTTGCTCTAAAAAAAGACATGCAGACTTTAATCGATAAGATATTATAATAATTTAAAAGTTACCATAACGCATTTATGAACTTTTGCCATGTCATGTACTGCTGAACAGTTTTAATTTTAATTTGAATCGATACTCATAATACAATGAACTATTGAGATAGGATAATCATTACTTGAATTAAAAGTTTAAGTGAAAAAGAATTTATATTTTAGTTTTCAATGCTGATTTTCAGTATGACCAATATTGTCGTGAGGTTATATAAGTAAAACTCATAGAATGAATATAATATCATTCAGAATTTTGCTGAAACGATACTCGAGATATTTACAACACGAATCTTTCTTTCTGTATTCAATCAATTCATAGTTCTGTTACGTTTTCGTCTGAAAATGCAACTAAGACAAATAAGAAAGATCAACAGAAAAAAAGCACTTTTTATTGTTGTTTTCATCAAGGTTTTTTTCTTTCTTTTGATTTTGTTAATATTTCAACTCAACACTATTTATAATATTACATTAATTTTTTTCTCACTATGTTAGTTCATTCATAAATATCTAATACTGCTAGATCATTCACTTTTTAATGTTAACATCGAAAAATGGAAGAGAAAGACGATGTAAGACAAATTGTCAAAAAAATGCAAGAAAGATATTCTCGAAACTGAAACTAGAAACATAAAAAAAGAAGGCAACTGTTATTTAGAAATTATTTCGATTGAGATATAAAAGCAATAAGATGCGTTATTGTTTTTAAGCATAAGACTCCTAAATACCAAGATTATGTATGCGGTACTATCAATACATAAAACAGAAAACTATGAAAGAAGTGTAAGAGTCAGACTTTCTCGACAATAGATGCCGTTTTGT